ATGGCGATACTCACTGACGATGCCGACTATGATGCCGGCGAAACGTCTGGGAATGTACCACGTCCACGGTTCTACTCTGGAAATGATGATGCATACAATGAACTCCGGACTAGTTGCGTTACTCTAACTCTTCCTACCAATATGAACGAGTTGCGAAAACAAGGTCAAACAACTTCTATACAAAAAAAGGAGACTGCGACCACACAAAAAGCCACACCATCTTGGTCTTCATATCCTTGATTAAACTCAGCTATAGTTTTGCATTGGAAACGGATATATTATACTTGCATTCATAGTTGGTAGGCTTGGGGACCTGGTCGAGAAACACACTCAAGTCTCCTTGTTAGAAAGTAGCTAAACCAAGGCTGGCATATTCAAGATACAGAATGCCATTGATAAGAGGCAAAATAGTTGTCCAATGGTTCTATGCGAAATAAATTTATTTGTCACTCTTGCATCCATAGTCTGGTATCTCCTTGGATAAAAAGCCTTGAAAGGTTTCCTCTCATTTAAGTAATGCAACAGCCCAACATAATTGGGAAAATCAATAATAAATTAGCGTAGACATGAAGACGAAGATGGTGTGGCCTTCTGTTTGGTGGCAATCTCTTTTAGTTTTATAGAGTTGGTCCAAACTCATTTGTGCAACTTGGTTAGAGCGTCGTGGAGACCTTGTGGAACGTACTTAGTCCTGTGACCTCTGTCATGGTATTCATGATGTTTAACATCAGACTATCAAGTTGGTACATTCTCAAACGTTTTGCCGGCATCGTCAGTGAGAGGCGCCATCGTTAGTACAGAGTTACAACTTATCAAAGTGACAACGGTTGAACATAAAATTGGTTGAGAGAATTGCCTTCGCTTGTCACTTTGCTAAGTTATAAATCTGTGTTAGTGATGGCTCCTCTCACTGACGATTCTGACTACGATGCCGATTACGATGCTGTCTACGATGTAGGCGATACGTGTGGGAATGTACTAAGTCAACGGTCCGAATCTGGAAATCAGGAATACTATGGCGGAGGAGTTGGACTAGATACGTTTCATAAGGTCTCCCTGACGTTCCGAACAAGTTGAGTAAACGAGGTCGAACCAATACAATAATAAATTATCGAAGGTATGAAGACCAAGATGGTGTGGCCTTTTGTGTCGTCGCAGTCTCATTTCGTTGTATGCAGGTTGTTTGACCTTGTTTTCGCAACATGGTCATATTGATAGGAAGACTTATATATATATATATATTTGAAAAATATAATTATATTGTCATAGTTTCTATCTATAATACCAAATCTATGACTTCCCATGTCCTAGTCTCTTGTGTGCCAAGCCACAAACGTTGTGGTTCAGCAATGAACCTAGTCAAAGCAAGCAGTACCACAACATTTGTGGGTTGGCACACAAGCAAATAGGGCATGGGAAGTCATAGACTTGGTATTAGAGATAGAAACTATGACTCTATAATAATATTTTTCATATATATATATATATATATATAATCTATTTTGATATTAATCCATAATTAGGCTTTTGTAAATATTATAATTGGGTTCACCATATTCTGAGCATTTTATAGCAGGTTGGTATTTAATAGGTTAATCTGTTTTTTCTGGTGGGCCACTTTTCTGGTTTTTTGTTTATATTTCTACAACATGTGGGAGTTTTTCATTATTGGATTTAAGTTGTTGTTCGAACTTGTTTGAACCAATTGGTGTTTTTGCTATTTTAGCTTTGTTGTTTACAACAAAGATACCATTAGCTTCGTTTTATACATGGCTACCCATTGTCCATGCTGAGGCTAGTACGCTTGTGTCTGTTTTTTTAAGTGATTATGTGATGAAGTTAGGTGTTATAGGAGCATATCGTGTGTCTTCATTTTTGTTTTCCGATGTGGTTTGTATTACAGCTTATGTGTGCATTGTTGTCTTATTTTGTGTTTTTTGTTTTATTTCTTCGTTGCTTCAGCTAGATGGAAAGCGTTGGTTGTCGTTTTTAAGTTTAGCCCACATGGCTGTGGTATTATTGTGTTTTGTATCATATTCTAGGTTTGGATATTTAGCTATGGCATTATTTGGATTAAGTCATCTGGATTTCTTTTTTTGTTAATATGATTTTTTGTATTTTGTATTTTGGTTGATCATTTAATACATCATGATTTTTAATATTTATTAGGTATTGTGGTTTTTTTTACACCGCGTCTTTCCCACCGAGTATTGGGTTTTTTATTGAGGTGTGGTTGGTTGGTTTAATTATAAAAAATTATGAATTATTGGTGCTATTTATGTTATATTTGTTCATAAGAAGGTTAATTCCAATAATATTATTTGGTTTTGGTTTTATAGGACGATTGAATGTTGATAATCATTAAAGATTTAAATTTACTATTATAATATCGATGTCTGGATTAATTATTTTTCCACTTTCAATTTCGTTAATATAAATATAGTGGTGTATAAGCATGTTGTATTTTGGTTACAGATAAAACTATAAGTTTTCTATTAAGTTTCAGCTAGCTTAAGTATAGAGTGTTAGGTTAAAGAGCTACAGGTGAAAAATATTCGCTAGAAAAATGGTTTTTCAATTTTTTGTTATGCCTTCCCATTTTTAAGTTATTCAAAGTTTTTATTATTCTTATCTTACTATAATGTATTTAAGACTATTGCTTGTTTCTTAATTTCCATGTGTTTAAAGTTTTACTAATATATACATTGTTATACCAATTTTGGTGGGACTTCGACCACTGGGGATAGCTGTGTATAAATTATTTTGTTTTATAAAGATACTAAAGCTTTCTATTCCAAGGGGTCTTCCCTCGCCATTATTTTCTGTTGCAATCATTCCATTTATTTTTATAGGTGAGTGTAGTAGTCAAATGATACGACCAGTAACTCTAATATTACGTTTGTTGGTTAATTTGTCTTTTGCTTACCTAGTGACTTTGACTTTGGCTAGTCAGTTTGTTGAAAGTCTGTTTGTTGGAAACATTTCTTCGGGGAGTGTTTTTATTTTTGTTTATCTATATTTTATTTTTTATATAAGATATTCATGTGTTTTTTATTAACATATGTTACACACGTGATGTTGCTTTCACTAATAAGTGATATGTATCACGTGTTGTAGGTAAAGATTCTTAGTAGTTAGGTGATTGTTTTTACTATAGTATTGTGTTAGTGTGTGGTGTATTGTGTGGTCTAATTGGTTTGTTCTCAAGTAGCTTAATTTTGTTGACTGTTTTAATGGAAAGTATGTCGATAATTTTTATAATGTCTTTTTTTGTGATCAGAAAATTTGCTAGTGAAAAAGTATATAAGGGGGCTACTATGTTTTTGTTATTTCTGCTGTTTCTGGGTTATTTATATTTTCCGGGTGGATGTGTGATTCTATTAGTTTTTTATGTTTGTTGTTATGATAAAGTTTGCAATATATCCTTTTTGTGGGTAAGTGGTTGATGTTTATAGCGTGAGCGGTTACACTTCTATAGTGGTTCTAAGTACAGCTTATAAGATTCCACTATTTTTGTATGTTTTTTGAATGATTGATATATTTCTGTGGGTTGGTTTGTGTTTTTTTTGTTTTCGTTTACTTTACTCTATTCTGCTTTTAATTTATTTTGTGGTTATGCTAGGTGAATAGTGTTAATCATTAGGTCGAGCCTCGGATCATCAAGATTAATATTTTTATTTGGTTGTGTGGGC